ACCCCGTTTACTTTTTAATGCAGAACTTCATGTGCCACTGCTCAGATAGATAGACAGAACTTTGAAAAAAAAAAAAAAAAAAAAAAAAAGTATCAAGACTAACCCAAAACCAGCTGTATTAACAATGTCAGCTTGGTCAGACATCATGCGGTAATATTATTGTGTAACAATCAGAACTGATCATTTTCTTTATATAACACCAAAGGATATCCTGAAAGGAGCTCCCTTCTTTTCTCCTCCAGCAGAAGCTGAGATATTTCCAAGGAGACAACCAAATAGATTTAATTTTTATTTTCATCTCACTTGTGCGTTAAAATTGTATTAGTCGATATGTTTAACCCCGATCTGTAGGCTGCAAGGATGTAACATCTAATCTGAAAATATTCTGGTTGCCGTTGACGTCAGTTTGCCCCAGCAGACAGACAGACAGACAGACAGACAGACAGACAGATAGACAGTAACATATGTTTTCATGGGAAAAATAAGAAATAAAGGCGAAAAAAGTAAGATAGTGGATTAGACGCTTGAATGTGAATATGATTATTGCAGCCAGATGTGCCAGCTCATGCATCTAACATTATAATGAGACACTTTCGATCCATCTGTTCTTTTGCTTTACTAACTGAGCTTTGGTGAAAGATTTAAATGTAAATGTTGGAAAATAATTTAAGAAAAGAAAAAAAAAATATCAAGAGGCTTAAAAGATGGAAAGAAAACAGTGTGGATTATTAGGAACGATTTTACACGATTTTGTTCCTTATTCCTTTTTCTTGCATCAAAATAATTAAAATGTATGTTTCGCACAGATTGATTGAGTCTGACGATTTTTGAAAACTTTGACCTCCAACAGCCTCAAGTTCTTTCCTTTTCTGGCATAATCCTGGGAAAACAGCTATCAAAACTTCATATTCTGCAGGTCAGACCTAAAAAAACAGAAATTGGTACCAGCCAGGAAAAATACATAAAATCTGTAAAATATTGCAGCTAAAGAACATGATTGGACAAGATTACGGCGCTTCATGAGGGACGCAGGAACTCTTTAGAACTTCAGGTAAACTCTGCAGACGAGTTTCAAGACTGCAGCTTGTCAGCTAAGATATTTCTTGGTGACAGGAGGAATAACTCCAGAACAAATCACACTTTGGACTCCGGTTTCATTCACACCGGCCCTGTTTAGTCCGCTTTAATCCAACTCCAGTTTGGTTGTCTGGTGTGAACAATCAATCGAGTTCTAATGCCGACCAAACAACCAAACTTTTAGCCAACTCTTTAAATCTTAGGCCTTGTGAACGCCAAATGGACCTGAAACCGCTCCAAAAGCAAGAAGCAGACTACAGTGCAGGGCATTCTGGGTAAATGAGTCCAAAATAAACACACGAGAAATGGCTTGTGGTCTTTTGCCAAAGACAAGAGAGAAATCCTGCAACCTCTAAAATCTGACGCCACTCCATTTTCGTGAAGAAGGAAGTTGCGCTGAGTGTCTTCTTCAGAGATTTTAGTGTCGTTTCCTTCAGTAGTTCAAAGTGCAGCGCCGCCACAGGTGAGGAGGGGAACAGCCTTTTCAAAGAGTTTGTTTGGTTTGACACAGAGCAGCGTGAAAGTGAACTGCAGCAGCTGAAAACGTAACAAACGTCCCAACTTTAGTCCCCAATCCAGCCGAGTCTATCGGACTATCAGGCGTGAAAACATCCTGAGAGCTTTGAGGCAAAACATCACGAAACAGCAGATTTCCCACCAGAGGTTTCAAATAAAGATACATTTAATGACGCGCACCCTGCAAGCCCTAATGAATTAAACAGGGCCATCGGTTTTCCTCACCCTCAAAATAACTGTGACTTTACAAGCGAGTTCAGGTTGTTGTGTCAGGAGGCACTAAGCAACAGTTGTGTTTGCGTATTTAGGTCAGCCAGGGAACGGAGACATCTGTGTGCGCCGTGATGGAGACCGTTCCTGCGCTCAGGCATCCATCTCCGTGTGGAGCAGGAGGTGAGCCTTTACAAAACTGAAGTTAGGTACTTTGAATGACGTTAAGAGACAAATAGGTTGGACTTTTCCTTCCAGTGTCCATCAGTATTTCCACACCGAGGGTCTCAGCAGTGGCCACTGACTAACACTGTTTGTTGCATAATTGTATTAAGCATCCTTAAATGCAGGTTTAGAGACGAGACAGCAGACTGGGTGTGTTGGCGCTTGTTATTTTAGCTTCTGTAATTTCCAGAAGCACGGCTCGACAGGAAGGCTTCTTTTCGAGTTAGCAGCCTTGTAACAGATGTCCAATTATTACTTTACAAAAGGTGCTTACGGATGTAAAAGCAGTCTCTCTTTTTTTTCTGCTAGGGTAATTGGAGATGGAGTTGGCCACAATTAAGAGAAAGAGGGGGAGGTTTGGAGGGGCTGAGCAGATTTCTGGGTTGAAATGAAACTCAATGTCTGGGCTGTTCTGCTGCAGAAGACTCTCTGTAGTTGATTTTTCCACAGAGGAAATTCTTGCCATTTCAACAGGAGACGATCACAGTCTCTCTCTCTCTCACTGAGAGCATAGCCGTTAATGATGAACGTTAGAGCGCGCGAGCAGGATCCGACGAATCATCCGAGACAGAAAACCTCACTCTGTCTGACTCCTCATCAGGTTTTCCAACAACGTTAGGAGTGCAGATACTGTTATGTGACTTGCGAATTTCATAAAAGTACAGTATGTTTACTTAATGCTTAAAGAAGGTTATGTGCGACAAGACATGTTACATTCAGTTGTTATAAAAATTATGTTTTTATTAAACATTACTTTGAAGAAATTTGATTAATTACATGGCTCCACTATTAACCCTTGAAAGTTTTTACCAGCGTTTCACTGAGGAGGAGCTTGTATAATGAGCTCAGCAGGCTTTTGCTAATTGCTGCTGGCTAGTCTGAAGGAGCTGATTGGAGGACAGCTGCTCTGTGAGACGCAAGTTTGGAAACCGATGCTCAGAGGAGGAGCTTAGTCCTCAAAGGGGGGGCTAGATCCATCCAGGCATTTTACACAGCTGAATGGTTGCCATGGAGATTAAATAATTTCTCAAACATGAATGAATGACTCAAAGCAATACTCCAACACTCCACCTGATAGAACTGCAGTAACTTAGTCACACCTTTCCAGCTATGTCAACATTTCCCCATACAGGCTTTGTGAAGAGTTACTAGAGGTCATTGTCAATCTGGAAGGCCTCAGTATATCTAGGTGTGATACACTGACATAACATATTTTTGGAAAGTTTCGTCCTCATTATGTCATCTTTGTTTTGGTGCACCAGTCCCTCCTGCAGCAAAACATGAACACAGCTTGATGCCGGCACTCCCATACTTCACAGTTAGGATGAATTTTTTTAGGCCCGACTTTTCCTCCACATGTAACATAAAATGTTACGAATCCATTTTATTGGTACATAAATACATATGCAGATGTTTTACTTTAACCATTATTCCTATGCTACTGTATCACATTCATTTTATATTTATATTAAGTTAAAAAATTGTAATGTGAAATCGCTTTTATGTATTACATTTTTAACAATAAATCTCCCTAACTGGAACCTTTGTATTTGCATGTTTCTGGTACGGCCGTAATTCTGATGCACGATCAACAGCAAGGTTCTCTTGGTTCAAAAATCGATCTGATGGGACATTTCTAAAAAAGTTATTTTTCAAAAGAAGTTACATGAGTGTTCAGTGATTCCTGAAACAAAAAATAACATATAAAAAAATGATAAATATTGTTTTATTTGACCATATATGTCTATTCATCCAATAATTTAAAAGCAAAAAAGGGTTTTGAATTGAAAATATTTATTTTGTCGATGTATAGTTTTCGATTAAAAAGCAATTCATTTCCACTGATTAATTACAGAACCTGAAATGAACTCAATTCAAAACTTCAATCCCCACTTTTAAGACAAAGAGAGAAACACAGAGAGAGAGAAATTGTCTGTTTATATTTACCAGGCAAAGTGAGACGGTGACACAGCGATGCACGTTGTTGTTGTTGTGTGATGAAATGCTGACAAGCATTTGATTTTCTCAAGTTGCAGCTGCCAAATCAAACTGCAGCAGAAGAATCCTGCCGTAGCATCGCTATTTTTACATCTGAATACCAGAGCCAGCTCGAGAATACTTTTGTCGCTGCGATTTATAGCCTCATAAAGGCTATTTGCTGATGCGGACAGAAAGCCGGGGGCTCGTATCGCCTCTCCCCTCCAACCCAACCCTTAACCAGAGATACAATTATAACCCGTAGGTAGACCAGGCGGGCGTTTACGCTCCTGCTTTCATGTGCTAAAACTAAGGGCACGCATTCAGGAGATAAGCATAACATTTTTAGTCAATTCTTATGGAAAATTGCTCTTTTTTTATTATTATTTACAGTTTTTTTTTGTTTTGTTTTTTTTTTTTTTTTTTTTGCTCATGCTGATTGATCGTATTATGACACTACTTGTGTTTGAATGAGCCCAAGGAGAAAAGTAGAGCTTTAAATGTGGCTGGTTTGAAAAGTTTTGTAGTTTTCCATGCTATAGTAAAAACTACAGCAATAATTTCCATGCTAAAGTCAAAAAACTAGTGCAGAAATAAACAATATTTAAAATGGCAAGAACATAAAGGACACAACGTGTAGACCGAAGCCTCATTTTTTTAAATATCAAAATCAAAGCAGCAGAATCTTTCCTGTATATTTTCTAAAACGTATCTCCAACAAATTCCACGTTTCTAGACAAACGCGAAGAAGAAACCATAATGAAACCTTATTGCATTTCTTAGCAAATCTTTCATTCTTTTAGAAAACTTTCAAGTTTTAAGTCCACACAGCAATTATTCCACACCCAAATCCCTCTAACTGAAGAACGATTGTTATTAATATTCGTCCTGACCTTTTAGTTTTAAAAAAAAGAAAAACATCCCTCTGAGTTTTGAGCAAATGGAAGCAGCTGCATTTAGGAACAGTTCGGATCTTGAATGTTTTGTGTTCTCACCTTTGACCTCCCCCAGCAGCTCGCTGGCGTTGAGGCCTTCGACGTGATCCTTCCAGTCCTTGGAAAGTAGCCTCACCATGCAGGACGGTTCTGCAAAAAAATATAAGTGAAACGTTACGTCAATGAGTCTTCAATGGCTCTGAAAGTCAAATATTTAGAAGAAAAATCAATCACATTTTATTTATATAGCACTTTACGACAGTGACGGCACCGAAGTGCTCTCCAGTTTAGCTCAGGGATAAAAATGAAGAAAGAAACTAAAACAAAATGAAGTAACAACATTAGTGAAAACATAAAAATGACAAAATACTACAATGTACTAAAAGCAATTCTAAATCAATGCGTCTTTAGCTTAGCTTAGCAATTTGAAATGTTATTTACAACAGACGTTTGCGTTTCGGCGTTAGTATTTCATAGTAAAATCTTGTGCCTTTCATGCACCTGGTTCGTGGATTCAATAAAAAAAAAAAACTAAGAACACAACAGCCAGTGGGAAAGCAAAGAAAGTCAGACTGGAGGACAACCTGGCAGAGAGAAGACGTTGTTTGTCGTATCTGTGAGGACTTGTTAGATTCCAGAATGTCCTCCAGCTTCTTCTCCAAAAACATAAAAAAAGAAAAAAAGCAGCAGCCATCCAGCTGACCGATATGACAATGTGCGCATTATACAAAGACGGGCTCTTATTTGCGGCTGTCTTCTTCTCTCACATTGTGTCTCGTAGCCTGGGGATAACAGACGGCGCAGGACACGTGGTCGTACGTGGTCATGGGATTCATAAGGTCCCATTTGTTCGACGGGAGTCCTGCTGTGAACTTCACTCCAACAATGGGAACTTTTTTTGATTTATCCCCAGAGAGGCCAGCGGAGGCAGAGGGAGGTGCTGGTCGGGACTTGAGAGAGCAGGAGCATCACGGCGCGGATAATGTCATGAAAAAGGAAACGCACATTGATTGAAGGATGTGACTTCAATCAATGAAGGATGTGGCTTTCTAAAAATCAGGGTCATAGATAGTGCCGTGTAAACCAGTTTGACTGATGACATCATATCCATAGAGACACACTGCATGTTACCGTTTACGTCTGGAAACTTTGCACATGCGCACAACATATGGGAATTCTGTTATTTCAATGCTGCCATATTTGTTTCAGCTTCCTCAGTAATTTTTTTAAATATATTTTGGATATTCTCTTTTTAAAACTTGTGAAAAAGTGGATTTTCCATGAATAATTTCACGTTCCACAAAAAAATCTGCAAATAGATAAACTGACAAATACCAAACCGCATCCAGGCAGGAGGTGACAAACGGTGACATGGAGAACTAGCACGAAGACACCATTACCACTGTGAAACATGGCAGTGGCAGCACTATACTGCAGAGTTGCACTTCATTAGCAGAGATGGGGAAGATGGTCAGCGCACAAATACAGGGCAAAATATGAAGAAAACAATTATTTTCCTACTATTTTACCATCATGTACTTGTTTGTGTTGGTCTGTCACACACAATTAAAATAAAGTACTCAGATGTCAGTTGGTGTAGTTAGAAAAAAAATGAGGGTAGAATTCACCGGGTGTGAATACTATTGCAGGCTCCGCATGATAAGAGTCTCCTGCATGTAGAGCTGCTTGATGCACTTTTCAGTTTGTGAGTTTGTGTGCAAACAGTGGTTTTCATGCCAGCGTACGCACTACAGATGGTGTCAGAGCCACGCAGGGCTCCGTGCCAAAGCCTCAGCAGCCCGTAGATGTCAGAGACACACACACACACACATAAAGAAAAAAAAAAGAAAAGAGACATTCTTGGGCTCTGTGCGGAAAACATGCCCCTGAGGGCTTGCCTGATTTAGAATGGTTAACTCAGACAATAGCTCATTTGTGGTGCCCTTATCCTGACAAAAGGCGCTATAGGCACTCATTACTGCACATGCTCCATTGTGAATGGCTTAATGTTGAGTTTGTACGTACGGGCCCAATGCGCGGTCATGGGATGCCGTCCTCCAGCAGAGCACAACTTCCTCACTGAGCTCATTAAAGCCTAACATGTTTACAGAGGGATTATGATCAATATAAATAAGCTGATGAAGGGGTCTGGATCATAAGGGGGCAAAACGTAAACAAAGAGGGGAGACGGCTGCACAATGTAGCAGAGAAACCGAGTGTGAGCTACAGGTATTCCTGCTGGTGATTCAGCATATCAATATACAGCGGTGGGCACTGCTAACTAGAAAGCTAACTGCACTAACCGTAAAGAACTAATAAACATTAGTTCCACTAATGCTAGAGCACTACAGAAACTAAAGCCAATGCTAATGCGCTACACCAACACAGAATTTAGCAGAAGCCAACACTAAATTTGATTTAAATTATATCTGCCTTTGAAGGACTGCAACCCTCTAGCACTGATTTGATTTAGGTATAATAATTTACATGATCTATAATGCCCTTAGATATTGCATTTATAATTATATTTTGTTCTCTTCTGTCTGTGTTTTATTTTGTTCCTGAATGTTTCTTGTTTGAGGTGAAGTTATTGAAAAAAAAAAAGACAGGGACCATGAGGAGAGGAAATGGAATTGTTGTGTAAGCAGTCTCCGTCAACTTCAAAATAAGAGCATGAACATAAACGCCTAACTACTTGAAGAATTCAAAACTTCAGCACAGATGTCCAACTTTATTATAACTGAACAAAACAGCCAAGTAAACTAAAACTTTGGAATTCATAAAATTAATATAGCAAGAAGCTAAGTGCGCTAAACATTTTCAAAGTTACCAAAAGAGCTAAAGCACTAAACAAAAGTCACTTTGGCCAACTTAGCAACATTGCTGGTGTATTTAGCGACTTTTCAGACCCCTCTAGCAACTTTTGACCATGAAAAATATAAAAGATTAGGCGATGACGTCATCCAGCAACTTGTAACACAGCCAGTAACTACTTTTCTAGCTGAAGAGCTAGCAACAGAGCGGAAAATTAGCCCCACTGTTAGTGGATTAGTGGAACTGTGTCCACTACTGTCAGGACAAAAATATGAGGTATTTCCAGGAAAAAGAGGCCACCTTGCTGTTAAGTGGAGCAATTAATATAACAAGAATGATTCTCATGCATATCTTCCAGACAGGTTAGTCTGCTAAACTGCATTTATTTACTTCAAATGCTGATTCTTAGAGTCACTGTCTGGTGCTTCAGTGGGACAGATGTGTTTTCTCATCAGGCGACCAAAAGACGCCAGTGTGCATTTTTGTAACAGGCCTCCCCATCACAAAAAAATCTCAGCGCAATTTATGAGAGCTTTTAAATGGGAAACTGCAACCTGTAACTCAGAGACGCATCTGCATAAGTCAACCATGTGTACTCCAACACACAATTTACACCCATCGCACCGATAAACAGCCCCACATGAGGGGATGGAGGAAGAAGAGGAAGAGATAAATGAAAAGGAGACGTTTTACCCTAGATGGCTCTATTATCTGTCGCCGTGAACGAGTCAAGGTACAAGAGTTGTTTAGATTGGGAGGTAGAGGAAGGGCAGCGGGGGGATAAAGATTCCACAACGTCTGAACGCAGGAGAAATGCAGAAGATGGACGGGTCAGGGAAAGAAGTAAAGAGAGCTGGGGCGAAGGGGTTGAGGAGATAAGGATGGAAAACGATGAGAAGAGAAGTAGAGATCAAAACGTTCTGATAGCCTTGAATAAAAATAGATCAGTGTGATGAAAAACAAAATTAGAATAGAAAGCAACAATTATTCTTACTGTTGTGTAATTATTGTTACTTAGGATGGATTTACACCCACCCTATTTGGGCCGCTTTAATTGAAATGTAGTTCAGTTGCCAAGAAAGTCTGGTTCGTTTGGGGCGGTGTGAATGGGCAACCAAACTCTGGTTCACCTGAAAACCTTGGTCTCCATTTGGCTGAAGTTAACTCTGACATGTTTGAATGTCTACGTGAGTACCAAAAGCAGGAAGCGAACTGTAGAGCAGGGCATTGTGGGTAAACACAACCAAAAGAAATGTGGGAGTTTCTTGCTAGCATGAGAAATGACTCGTGGATTTACCAATGACAAAAGAAAAATCCCACAAATGATCAAATATAATGCTACTCCATCTTTGTTTACATTTCGTGAAGAAGGAAGTTGCCCTCATTGTCTTGTTCAGAGGTTTTTATGTTGTTTCTTTATGTAATTCTTGGTGCAGCGCCCCCACAGTCGAGGGGGTTACAGGTTTTTCAAAGAGTTTGCTTAGTTTGACTCAGTGCAGTTTGAAAGCGAACTGCAGCAACTGAAAATATAACAAATGTTGCAACTTCGGTCTCCAATTGAACCGAATCTCTACCGGATAATCAGCAGTGAAAATTTCCCTTTAATATTTCAGTGACTGTATTTTTTTTTTTTGTATTTTCCCCTGTGCTTCGTATCCTGTCTTGCTCTGCCAATAGGGAAACTCGACCTGTTGCACTACCACTCCTTTTAAGCTTCAAAGGACTTTAAATCTTCACCAGAAAGTTTTGCATAACTACTTAAAGTTATTTAGCTGTAAGAACTTTCTACCATTTTCAGCCATGATGTTACTTCGTGTAACTAAAAATTCCCATTGCTAGCATGTGACCCTGTCCTGCTTTTTTAATCCATCAGCAGCTACCGTGGAGCAAGGGAAGACAAAGGCTGATGAAGGCACGTGAAGCAGCAGAGACGCAGTAAATCAGGAGCGAGGCAGCCGGGCCTCTGCCAAGTGTTTTGGGTACACATCATTTTATCACCTGTCTCAGCGCCAACCTGCCATCATGCAGCGCTTTGGATGTTGGGCAACTCCCTGTGTGTTTCCCTGTTTGTGTGTTTGCCGCATGCCAGGCAAGAATCAACAGTGCCGAACAACCGCTGCCAATGAACACAGTCTGCCTCAGGCTTCTTCTGAAAGAGTCGCCTTCTCTGGTTTTAATTTCCCACTTTCACTTCAGTGGTTTATTTATTTATTTATTTTAATGAAACAAACTGTAAGATTTACTCCCATATCTTTGTGACTACTGTGTTTCTAATCTGTTCAAACCGGAACAGTGTGGTTTTAAGCTTACACATTCTTTAGCCTATTTCAGG